GGGCCCCCCCCCCCCCCCCCCCCCCCCCCTCCCCCGCCATCATCATTTCGCTTTTACGCATGAAACACAGCCGGATTCCGAGAAGTCCGAGTCTCGAATCGCGAATGCGAGGTCCTCGAAATCGGTCCTCGAAGGCGTACTCGGGACCTAGAAGCCAGCCGGAAACGAATCCTCGCTGAAACCGTGAATCTTCGGCTCTCGCTTTTCCGAATTTAAAGCGGCTGATTCCGTCCCATTCTTCGCCGTACTCACCGAAGTCTTCACTCACCGAACTCACCACGTCTTCGGCAGTCTTCGGCAGTCTTCGGTCGTCTTCGGCAGTCTTCGGCAGTCTTCGGTCGTCTTCGGCAGTCTTCGGCAGTCTTCGGTCGTCTTCGGCAGTCTTCTTTGGGCTCCCGAAGGTACAGACGAACCGATTTGGAGGAATATATATACCGATGGACTCCCCTCGTGTACCTTTCAAGTACTCCCCCCCCCCCCAGTACCGGAAATTCCGTCTCGAGCTCAATCGGACAAAAAAGCGCGAAAACGAGTTGATTCGCGAATCGCGCGAGATTCGCTTCTGTTGCGAGTCGGGATTCCGCGTCGAGAAGTCGAGACGAAGATTCTCACGACCCAGATTCGAGATCGAGGATTCGACCTCGAGATTCCATTCGGGATTTACCCGCGATCGAAGCACAAAAAGACAACGAGAGATGGAGCAGGGCCTCTAATTAGCGTCTAATTAAATAACGAAGCCCTAATTTCCATGGAATGCGGCGTCCGATCCAGAATTTCAGCGAGTTTCGATGGAGCGAAAGCGTTTTTCGGTGAAAAATGACTCATGCGTAATTTAAACTTTTGTTTATGGAAAAAGCGAAATGTTACCGCGTGAGATATTTCTTTTTCTGGCGTCTCGCGCCTGCAGGTTCCCATTTTTCCGCCGTGAACATTCGAGTCGAAACGCGAAAAATGTAATCGCTCGTTTTAAAATCAACACTTGAGGTTCCCTTTTTGAGGTCAAGGTGAGCAAAGAAAAGAGCGAAGAGGGCAAATAAAGCCCTCGAAGGTCGACGTTCGCGACGGAGTGAGAAGACACGCAACCCAGCCGACTCTGTCAATTGGGTCGAGTCGATCTGGGTCGAGTCGATCCGGGCCGAGTCGGCCGCGGTTTGCAACATGCCCTCTGGAGAAACGCTGGAGGTTTCTGTCGATCTTTCAGGGAGGCCGGACCTGGAGAAGATCCGGCGGCGGTTCGCGGCGGTGCTGCCGGGGGTGAAGGGCGGGTGGAAGCTGGCGAGCCGCGGCGAGACGCGCGGCGGGTACCTCTTCTGGCGTCGCTGCCCCGACTTCCGCGTGGACGACCACGTCGAGTTCCTCCTCCGCGGCGGGCGGCCCGCCGAGTACGGCGACGACCGGGAGCTCTGCGAGCTGCTCGAGGAGAGGTCCAACGTCGCTTTCCTGCCCGATAGGTGGGTCGGATGCGGGGGCAAGGGGTCTCTCGTCTTTCGTTTTCCGTCGCGTGATGCAAGGGGGGAAGGCGGCGCTTCCAGGAATTCCGAGCAAACAGGAATTATAAATACGGTCGGATGCATAACGAATGCGAAATCTGAAGCGGTAAATATGCACAAGAGACCTGTATGCCTCGTTCGACCTTCAACGAGGAACGGTGAGTGTTATGCTAATAAAACAACAACAAAAACACGAGTTAAAGGGGAAGTAGAATTGCGAAGGATCCGAAACGGGACGAGAGGCGACTGCAACGTGCGACCGCTTTTCCAGGCCGCCGTGGGAGGCGCTGGTGATCCCCAAGTCCTCCGGCGAGGAATACTCGCTGGCGTTCCGCTACCACCACGGCCTGGGGGATGGGGTCTCCATGGTCCGGCTCTTCTTTCGCTCTTTGGCCTCCAGGCCGGCGGAGCTGTTGGCGCCGAGGAACAGGAGGCGGATGGGCTTCCTCAGGAGGGTCTGGTTCCGAGTCTCCGGGCATCTCGGGATTCCGGCCAACTTCGTGTCGTCGTTCGTGGATCGGGACCGGTCGAACCTGGTGGTGGCGAAGGTGAACGGGACCCGATCGTTCGCCTTGTCGCGGCCCATCGGACTGGATCGCCTCCGTCGACTTCGAACGCGGGAAGGAGCGACGATCAACGAGATCTTCATCGCCGTCCTGGGTGGGGGCCTCCACCGGTGGATGCAGGAGGAATCGGCGAAGACGTCGGCTTACTTCGCGGTCGCCGTTCATCATCCGGACGAGGAGACGGAGATGGCGAATCGTCTCAGCATCGTCCGGCTCGTCTTGCCGGTCGGCTCGATGGAGCCGGGGGCTCGGTTGAAACTGGCGAAGGAGTCGACGCGGGGCATCCATCGACCCGAGGCCCTGTCCACGTATTACGACGTGAAGATGAGCGGGAATCTCCTCCCGACGTGGCTGGCCGGTTGGATCGTCGGGGACGTGCCGGGGAGCGTGGACCTCAGCAACGTTCCGGGGCCGAAGGAAAGGGTGACTCTATTCGGGGATGACGTCACGAGGGCCGTCGCATGGAGCACACTCGAAGCCAACATCGGTCTGTGCTCTTTTTTCCTTTCACCGTTCTTGACGCGCTTCTGTTTTCCCCTGCGGTTGTTTGGTCGATTGTGGGAATACGAGATGTCAGTTGACTTTTTTTTCCCATACACTAAATTTCTGCATTTGAAAGCTACATGCGTATGACATAATAACCGGAATACAACGAAACCCTCTGTACCGACTGGGGGAAAAAAAGAGGAAATTCATTTGGGTGTGTGTGCCGACGGGAAATGGAAGGTCGAAAAGGCCATCACGCCAACGATGACATTTCCTCCCCTCCCCAACCTGCTCCCGTTCTTCACGGGGCAGAGCGCACGGAAATGAACTCGATGCCTTCCATCGTAGGTCTGAGCATCCTGCTTTCGTCGTACGCGGGGGAGGCGTGGATGACGATCGCAGCGGACACGGCCGTGATCCCGAACAGAGACCGAGCCGAGAGCCTCCTCTCGGCCATCCACCAGGAACTCGCCGACCTCGAGGCCGCCTCCGAATCCAAGTCGGAGGGAAGTTTCGGTCCCGCTCTCGTCGTCTGAGTTCCGTCTTCGCTTTCCGGTCTCCCTTTCGCCCGAGTGAATTGCACTGACGCTTCCACCTCTCCTCCCCTTCCCTTCCTTGCATTCCCATTCGTACGACCTTGTTTTTTTTTTATTATGTGTATAATAAAGAAGCACGCGAGCGACAGCAGGAAGAACTCGACTCTTCTAATATTTGAAAGTTGGATGTCTGCCGAACATCCGCATTAGCATCGATGCCATGCCGACATTTATGGCCGATTGTCGTCCAGCGAGCCCCAACCTTCTGCATGGAAAACTATACGGCCTTCGGCGCCGAAACGGGACTTCCCTTGCTCGTTCTGAGAAACATGGAAGCATCTTCAAAGGTTGGCCCTGATGTCGGCTCGGAAAGGGTTCTGGGTTTCAGCTCGTCGATGAAAAGAAAAGGAACCTCAATCACGCGAAGGCCTCATGCAGGTAACATGAGACATTCGATTGATGTGGCCTTCCAGTCGTTGTGCGTTCCGGCCTATTACAGGCCTATTTCAAGTTCGAAAAACGATACGAGGAATGCATCGCAACTTTGGGGAGCTTTTGGATTCACTTTTTCTTATCTTTGTATTTGATCAAATGTAACTTTTGATACCACGGACGAGCACTTATTGAAGGTTTTTAAGATCCGGTTTAAGATCCCAATTGGAATTTTCCAGCCGGACCGAAGCTGTAGATTCTGACCATTTCCAGTCGACTAATATCTGGAAAATGCTTGATACTGGTTGTTTCCAGCTGGAAATTTCCAGTTAGAATCTCATGCGAAAGATCTCCCAGTTGAATTTAGAGATTATAATTTAATTAATTTGAATTATAATTAAATTTCTTAATTCATCTGATATATGGCAACCAGGAACCATCTGGTTTTACTTTCCAGCTGGAACGGGTCCGAATTTGCAGCTCTTGACTGTTGTTTCCAGCTGGACCCCCAGCTGGAAACAACAGTCTTTTTCCAGCCGGGATTTTAAACCGGGGAGTCAACTCGTCACTTATTTAAATCGACTCGAATCCAATGCAGATTCGTCTCGATTTGCCTAATTGTTGCCCGATGGACCCTATTATCGACGGAATTTGGATTTCCTGTCACTCGACTCTGACGTGCCCGAGGCAGGCCGAGATTCCGATCTCAGACCCAGAGGGATCCCAGAATTTTCATCCCGTGCGAACGGATTCAAATGCGACCGCGTTGCCGTGACGTCACTGCGACAGTCGCGTTTTCTGGGCATCGCGTCCGTCTTTCCGCCTCGCTCACTGCCCGAGATTCAATGTTAGTTTCTTTTCCCATGCCTGGTATGAATAAAGATGCGAGTCCTCTTTCCAGAGAAAATTTCCAGAATAGGAGGAATGTGTGAAGCAATTGGAGACATGATTAAGTTGATTCATAACGTCTCAATAATTGCTGGAGGCTCGTCAGGACAGAAAAAAATGTTTAACTTGGAAATTTCTCCCTGCTCAATTCTTTTCTTTTAGCTTGGGAGTGAGACGATTGGGATGAAGTCAAAGGGCATCGTATCACCGCCTCGATTCCCCTCGAAATAGGGCGCGAATGTGGCCAAACAGGATGCTGGTATGGTAAATACGCGTATACCGAATCTCGAAATCGGCACTTTCCTGTCTTACAGCATCAGGGACAGGATGAGGCGGAGATTCACTTTTTAAGACAACATGGAGAAAAGTGGCCACCGGGCGATGTGTCTCTTTAGAACCGATCGACCACACCCTGCCGGAAAAAAAAGAATTAAACGGAGGAAACGCGCAGCCACATCGGGAAGGAGTCAGATGATGAGAACGACCAGCGCCGTTGGGCTGACCTGCGCGGAGAGACCATCCCGGGTCGACTGAGACTCCCGCCGAAGGGCGGGAAGGGTGAGGCATGGCGTTCGAGGCTTCGCGCGGCTGGCGCCAGATGTCCTTCGCGGAGGGAAGGAATCGTCGCATCCGTTTTTTCGCTCGAAGTGGGTCACGGACGGGGAGCTAGTGCGGCTCTGGAGCCTCGGCATCGACCTGCAGCGGTGGTGGGAAGAGGTCCTGTGATCTTGCTGTCCGAAACGTCCGCGACTGTCCCAGAGGCATCCCGGTTTAAAATCCAAACTGGAATTTTCCAGCCGTTCCAAAGCTGCAAAATTGGACCGTTGGCTGGCAAGGAAGCTGGAAAATAGTAAGTACAGGTTATTTTACAGCTGGACATTTCCGACTGGAATGCAGATATTTTTAATAGATGTTTCCACGTGGAAATTTCCGGTTTTACTTTATACCAGGGGTTCTTAATCTTTTTGTACCTACGGACCTCAAGTATTACCCATGGACCCCCACCCCCGGTTATCGGAAACTTTGGAACACCTGGATTCGTGATCATGTTTTTCGGGAGCTACCTTCAATTGCATTTTTAATTTTCCATGGACCCCCTGGACCTACCCCATGGATCCCCAGGTTAAGAACCCCTGCCCCTACAGAGGACCCTCCAGCTGGAATACAGATAAATTTACAGCTGACATTCAGCTGAATTAACAGCTGAAACTCAGCTGCATCTGTAGATAGACCTCGGGCAAGAATAACCAGAAAAAATTCTCATTCCACCAGTGGTATTACAGCTTGGAACCAATCTGACTTTTACTTTCCGGTTGTTACCCAGTTGGAATGGGTCCGAATTTCCAGCCGGAATTTGAAACCGAGATCGCAGAGATAGACGGAAACAATGAAGTTCGGTCGCCAAGGCAATACTGCCATTTAAAAAAAAAAATGTCTACGCCTTTTCAGGCTATTCTTAGCTTTCGTCCATCCCGTGAATTTTCACGCTCGTAGAAGCTGGTGAGCCAAGAAAAGTTCTCGGTGATAGAATCCACTTCGAGAGACGAAACGCGGAGACGGAATCAACATTCTTCCCACTAAATTTATGCGATAGATGATGATACTGTTTCCAACCATTGCCTCGGCATCTAACTGGAATTCGAGCTGGGCATAGAGCAGTTTCCTGAAAACCCTTCCAACTGAGAATCTGTTCGGTTCCAGCAGAAACGAGGTCGAAGTCCGATGCGAAGTTGGACCTGCGACTGGGAATCCAAACGCGAAAGGGCGTCGAAGGGGGACGAAGTCTCGAATGCATTCCTGCGGTTCGCCATCTCCGGATGGAATGGGACGAAAACGTCTCCGGATCCAGGACGAAGGCAGCTTCATTCCCGCCCGACTTTCGACGTCGACCGACCTACGAAGACGGCTGAGGAAAAGCGGATGTGGATGCCTCCGCCATCTACGGCCGTAGTGATGAAGCTGTACAAAGGCGTTTCCTACAAATCGGTATCGGCCGGCATTTCTACCGTCTCGGCAGTTTTGCGAGCCGAGCTTTGACCTGGAAGTAGAGCATCGAGGAAAGCTCTGCCGAACGAGAAAGAGATCGGCAAATTGGAGACGCCGTGCCAAGTCACAGTCTGATAAATTCAGTTTGTGCGACATTGGATTAAACTACTCTGAACCATACGCCGAAATGCGACTTCACTAAATAGGTAAATTGCACCAGGGTTTTAGTTCAAAATTTGCCTCTCATAGGCGAAATTAGTGAAGCTACTCTTTCCTTCAAAGACCCCCATCAGGAAACAGTTTAAGAGGTGTTTACACGTGCAGAGTATGTTTACATGAAGTTTCTCGCGCAAGAGATCCTTTCGAGAGAGATGTCCTACGTCTGAGTACTTCCAAGAACGTAGAGCTATTTATTTTCGCGCGAGTGCTCTCAAACACTGGGTGGCACTCCTAAATGCGACGAATCCCGCGGGGTCAGGCCGCGAGCATGAGGCTGAAACCGACGCCGCGCAGACTGGGCAACGCCCAAGCGGCTCAAGGATGAGAGGCAACATGTCCGCGCCCGCCGTCTCCTTTTTACGCTTCTCGAGGGGCTCCCGTCCCAAGCGCTGTTCGCGGCGATTCGTTCACGTCTTTCATCTGGCATCCGATGCGGGCCGTCCGGTTCGTGCGTAAAGGCTTCGCGTGCAGCGTGACGTTGGGTTCGGTGCACCGCGAGCCATGAGGCCGTTCTCCGATGAGGATCGGTTTGACTTGCTGTTCAAGATCGTCGTGATCGGGGATTGTGGGGTGGGAAAAACTTGTGTCGTCCAGAGATTCAAGTCTGGCACTTTTGTGGAAAGACATGGCAACACGATCGGTGTGGATTTCTCCATGAAGACAGTCACAATCGATGGCTCCAGAATCAAAGTAATAGGCCTAGCATATCTTGTGTTCTAATACCCTTTGAGGCTGTCGTAGCAAATATTGAATCTTTCCTTTAAGTAGGCCCAAACAGAGATTTTGGATTGAGTTTGCATATCACTTCATCATGGCTCTGCATCACCGCCTTTGCTGGTGATATCTAGGTCTAACAATCACAAATTGATGCACAGATGGTCAACCCAATTCCACCTAAAATGTACAAAGTGTCATCTGTGTCATGACAGAGCAAGATCTAGTTTCACTGTCTGCTAGCAGACCCATGGAAGATATTGAAACTAATGCAAAAGAATGGCAAATTCAATGCAAAACCTCTGTAGATGTGCTATATGAATTTGGTATGTGAAGCCAAAGGTTCCTCACCATGAAGAGAATGTCTCATTCCCTTTCAGCTACAAATATGGGACACTGCTGGCCAGGAAAGGTTCCGGACAATCACCCAGAGCTACTACCGTTCCGCTAATGGGGTTATTTTGGGTGAGGGTCTGATGTACAATATTTAAGCAGAATTTCACTGGTAAATTTAACCCTAGGCCTACTTTTTCTCATTTCTGAAGTGATTCACTGTGGATCATTTAATTTTCAGTGTACGACATCTCAAAGCGGTCTTCCTTCTTGAGCCTTCAACGATGGATTGATGAAGTGAGGAAATACACAACTGAAGCATTACACATGGTACTTATAGGTGAGATGCACCCCTTTGAGTAAGCTTCAAACTTAAGTTTTCCTGTTGAATAGAAAAGGTTAACCAAAATTTCAAAGCATGGCCACTTGAAAGTGTGGATTTGTACATTTGTGCCATCTGTACAATTTCAATGTGAGTTGTTTATCCAGAGAGAAAAGAAGTTACTGCTTACAGTATTTTCAAGTTGAAAATTTTGCATCTTGTTTTGACAAGATATTGAATTGCAGCAGGTTACATTATAGCAATGAATATTTCAGTAATTCATTTCTGACGTACTTTTTAAGTTGATCTTTTGAGAATGGACTGTCAAAATAATTTACTCATCATTCATCACCCATTCAATTACTCGTCATGCTGACATGCATCAATTAGACTTTTTCCCTTCTCCCAAGTGTAATTTTGTCTATGGTAAGTCATAAAACTCCCATTGCAGGGAACAAGTGTGACATGGAAACGTTGAGGGAGGTAGAGTTTGCTGAAGCAAAAACCCTTGCTGATCACAACCCAGAAATCAGTCTTGTCCTGGAAACTTCTGCCAAGGACAATGTTCACATTGAAGATGCCTTTCTTGCCCTTGCTCATGACTTGAAGGTTTGTTCCCTGCTCTTCAGATTATATCATGGGTATTTGGGGGTCACATTGCATGAAGATGAATAATGCTAAGATGTATTAAATTTAAGTAAATGTGAATTAATGTATTTTTATTCTCTTGATCAGGAGGAGAGTGGTGGACGTATTTTAACCTCATCTGGTGAATCGCCACTACATATTGGCAGCTCAAGGACAGTCACTTCTCGCTGTTCCTTTTGTGGGTCGTGATGTGATTGCAACCAGCTGCTTTTCCTGTTCTCTCTCTTTACCCTAGTTGGCTCTATGTATTTTTGCATTGTCTTTTATGAAGTTATCGCAGTTGAACTCAGAGAGGACATTTCTAATGCTGGTGCTTCCTTGCCTCAATTTGTGCGAATCTTATGTATCAGATTAAAATAGCTATTCATCTTTGACTTAACTATTTCTTAGGTAGATGAATTCCAAAGTCTGTGATGTAGGTTTACAGAAGCTGAGCCTTAACTTATTGGCTTGGACCATTGCTTTCTCCTGTCCCAAGTATTCCCTCCTTCATATTCATGGAGCTTTTACTGGTACTGTGTATTATGGCATGAATATGCAGGCTTGATTTGCCTGCATTCACATTCCAAGGCCAGTATAAAAAGAAGAACCTGTACACAATATCCTGATTTTCGTGATTCGGTTCCTCTTATGTGTACTGTAATCCTACTTTACCGTATTACTATGCCATTTATGAGCACATGAATTGAAATGACTCTTGTTTGCAATCAGGGTACTGTCATAAATGTAAGCATAAGAATGATGGCCATGCAGGGTATCTCTGGGAAGAAACAAGACAACATGAGTAATGAAAATCCCTGCATGAATTAGTCCTGTGAATGGAAGCACAGAAGGTTGTGTAGTCATCTATTCTGGGAGAATGCCAAGTACAAAGCATGTAACAGGAAGACATGGCATAGCTATGAAATTGAGCGTGAAAAAGTCAAGACATTCACTCCACTTCTTTGTGCTTCTGTTGTATTAGTGTCTTTTTCTCTTGTTCAGAGCCTTTTTATGGAAAATTTGTCACATATCACAGAATGCCTTGGAAATGAAGGATGCCTGACCTTCAGTTTCCTTTGCTTGTGCATTTGGTGAGTTTTGAAGGATCAGTATGCCTGCTCGACTCTTGCATCATTAATTCCTTAGTTATTCTCTGCAATTTCTTATTTAAAAGATCAGCTCAGTGCCACCCTCACTGTCTCCTTGCAATGCATGCAGTTATGACAACCACTTGTCTAATGTCTGGGCTCACTCATTCCAGAGATTAGAGAAGAAGAGTCAGTATTCAAGTTAGCTTGCAGGACACCTGCCACTTGCAGGGTGTGGTGCATCTTTGATGGTGGCCTGTTGATACTTCCCTGCTCTCCTTTGATTTTTTTTTTCATTCATATTGCCTGATTCTGATTGATTTGTTCCCCAATGACCTTCCATGGGACACACCCCACCGCCATCTTTACCAGTTGGGTTTGAGTGATGGTGAATTCAGGCAAAATTAAAATGACCATGTGGTGAAAAAAAAATTATATTCGCTTTCTCTTGCTGTTTCAGGGGATGACAAGAATAGTGTGGAACCTTATGTGCAAACTTTATTTGGAATGGAATTAAGAACATTGTCTCACAAGTGCTCTGGGTTGAGAGCTCTGTTATCTCGCGTCTGGTATCGATATTTCCAATTCTACTCACGTGCACATGACATGCGGCTGAATCCACTTTTAAAATGCATATAAGGACCTTCTCGACATGGATGATGAAAAAATATTTCTTCCACTCATTGGGAGGCGTATAAATAGGGAGTGTCTCTCGGAACTTATGAACACTGGCAACAGACATTCTCACTCCTTTCACGCATGTTCCAGAGACCAGATTCGTGCAGGTACAAGGTGTGTCGTAAGCATCAGTCGTCTGGAACGTGTCTCGACCGACACGAACCGCGAAAGTGGATCCCCTGCAGACGGAAGCGTACTGTCGGATCCGGCCTGTTCCCCCGACTCTGTCGGATGCATCCCCGGACTCAGAAGTACTCCTTGCTGAGCCGGTACGACGGAGGGTGGAGGGAACAGGCCGCTGATTGTCAGTAGCGGAAAGGCCGAAGGTGAGCCGTGGCGGTGAGATCGTGCTTCCGCCGCCGGCTTATGCAGATCCCCGACGCGACGAGGAGGATGAGGAGCACCAGGACGCAGGCCACCAGCACCCACATCGCCGCTCGATATGGCTCCCCCTCTGGTTTCCACATGGAGAAATGGGCCTCGTTTATTTCATGCTTTCTCTGTAGTTGACGAATGTCATCACTCGAGGAGAAACCTGGCTAATTCGGCAACATTAACTGAACTTCGCGACCTCTGTCTCGTCCAGTGGCGCAATCAAGAAGGGGGCTGTTGATTTGGTTTGGACCCTACTTCAGAAAGGCCCCCCTCCCCTTTATTTTCTTTTCTTATCAGCGTTTTGTTTTGCTTTTGTATCGTTTCAAAGGTCGGAAAGCTCGAGAATGTTGTCGAACTTGACCGTGGTTTGTTCGCAACTTTCTAGTGCAGCGCTTCCCAACCTTGGGGTCGTGAAGCCGCCCGGCAGAGTCATTTTAATATCGTGCTATATGCAGGGTAATTTATTTAACATTCGTCATGATGCCATATTTTTGACGGGCGAATGTTGATCTCGTCTATGCATTATATTGGGGTCAAAGACTGCAGCTGTCTGAATGGGGTTGCAGGAAAATGTTGGGAACTGCTGTTTTAATGCATTTCATTCGCGCGAGACCTTTACCTGTGTATTTATTCGGCACTGGTCCAAACTACTGATGATAAGTTCCGGGACGGTTTTCAAAAATTGTTGCACGTTTATTTTTTAACCAGTTTCTTTTGCTGTACTGGTCTAATGCTAATGGGTCTTGCATGGAAATTGAGACCATTTTATGACCTTGCGTTGTAGAGATTCTATATGCACGACCAAAGGCGTAATCGGGCTTTAAAAAAAAAATCACGCTGGACGCAGGCAAGGGGTGAAACGAGCACCGACTCACCGATCTGGGACTCCGGGCTCGGAGTGAAGAGCGGGGTGGAGTGGAGCCAGGGCGAGGGGGTGGTGGCAGCCTTGGCCACCTGGCGGAGGACGTGCGACCAGAGCGACACCTGCCGTTCCTCCGAGGAGGAATCCTCCATCCGGCGGGAGCCGAGCATCATCTTCGTGGGGCGGAGGGGGTCGTAGGGGTCCCACGTCTTGGCGTCCGGGGAGAAGTACGGTGTTGGGTTCCTGCAGGCGGAAACGACGGGGGGGGGGAGGGGGGGGGGGTCAACGGAATGATTTTGGGCGCTGAATCGTGAAAACAGGGAAGGAGAAGGGGTCGACGGGATCACTTAACAATTACCACGGGAGAAGTGGATTTCACTTGTATGCGAGAAAGGAGACATGCAAAGCACACGGGTGAAACGGCGACTTCGAACTTCGACAGTCACTTTCCATTGTTTTACGGTACTCGTGTTGCATCATCTCCAACGTGAAGCCGAACGTATTTGTGTGCCCTATAATGCTAATGGGACGGTGCACCATGACCCCGTGGAGTGTATCATGGAGAATCTCTCCTTCGTGAGAGTGAATACACTCGTCGCACCGGGGGCAGGTTCAGGGGCATCGATCGTCTTGGATATAACTCGATTGAGAATGCGTGATGAGCAACGATAAGAAAGGAAAATTGCTCCTCCGTCGCAAGGGTTGGCAACGCGAGGGCTGAAATTGAAAAGATCGCGCGACCGATCTCTCTTCGCAAACGTATCCGCAGCACTCGGAAGTGCCGGGAGCGTGCCGATTCCCGTTTTAAATAATAATAAATAAATAAAAAACTAAAATAAAGAGAAATAGAGACCCAGATCTGGAGAACTCGGTCCACATCCGCTTGAGCTCCTTCGCGAACTGATCCTCCTCCCGGCTCATCCGGCGGCCTTGGGTCTCCTGGTACAGGCTCGGCGACAATAAGTACAGCAGCTCCGCTCCGTGAAGGCTTCCTGCAGCGACACGGAAGATTAAACGAATAAACGTTCCGGAGAGGGCACTCGGAGACGAGATCGGATTTTGCCGCGTCGTCGGGGCGAACCTGAGAAGTTGGCCGCGTTGCCGTAGATGTCACCGAAGGAGGGAAAGTCGTTGAGATAGAGGAAAAGCTGATCGGACCTCGCCAGATACGGCACCGCCATGGAAACGGGAACTTGAAAATACGCATCCGTGTAAAACTGCAAGAGACGACACAACCTTCACTTTCTCGACCCTCCACCCCCCCCCCCCCCCTTTCACACCACCCACCTGCACGATCCCCCTGAACGTGGCATCCCTGTTCGCCTTCCCGTCGATCCCGTAGAGATAGAGCAGCAGCACCGTCGGCAGCCCCGCCGGCGTCGCGTGCTCCGAGATCCCCATCGCCTCCAGCACCCCGGGGATCCCGCTCAGCTCCATGAACGTCCGGAGTTCCCGCTCGTTCCGGTTCCGACTCAGTCCGTGGTAATCTGGAAGGGCCGCATTTCCATCGAGTCGCTCGACCGACCGATCCGTTTTTAAACCTAACCCTAATGGAAAAATTAATCGCCCGAACACCGATTGCCCAAAAGTTAATTAGACGAACCAAAACGGGATCCCATAAATCCCATCTCGGGTGGCAGGGGCGCATCCAGCTATTTGGGGGAGAATCGAGCTCAGAGCAGTAAAAGTTCGCGCGACGACGCGGGTGGTTCTCGCGAATGATGCCAGCGTCCACGGAGTCCTCGAAGTCTTCTACCCTCGTAGTCTTCTCTATTCGCTCGAAGGGTCGCGATCCCACACGATTCTTACTCTGTCCTTTCCGTACCGACTCCTTCTGGTTCCCTTCGTTACTATTTGTTCTCGAGTAATTTTTTTTCATTACTATCGCGTGACATCGATGCTACTACACGTGACACCGATGCTACATTCGCGTGACACCGATGCTACTACACGTGACATTCGAATGACCGCATCGACACCGGTACTTCGCGGGGTACATGGGGACGGGAGGAAGTACCTCGTGAAGTTACCATAGGAGCACGTGATATCGCATTTCATCTCGTTCTCTGCGAGCGCTGCGATTTTTTTTTTTTTTCGTCGCGAACCTGACCAAAGGGCGAACGTGCACTCAAGTTCGCTAAAAGAGCAAGAAATCGCCATTCTTCTCCTTCCGAAGAACGGTAATCGAAGAAGGTTCGGAGGGCGAATTTCTTCCGCCCTGGAACATTCTCGAAATTGTACGTTCCCCTCGTTTGCCGAATCATCGAAGATTCATGAAATTCCATTCGTTAGTCGCCATTTTGGCGAAATTAGTGTTTGTGGGGGGAGAGAAAACAAAATTGTGGTAGAACGCAGACCACCCATGAAAATGGTCTGTTTTCTTCGTCGGAGAGGGAACCCTCAAGGACGAAGACGAAAGACGGCGCCGTTCCCGCCGGTGCCAAGAGCGAAGCGGAATCCGGTGCCCGGCGGCGATGCGAAATTAAAAAATGGCCCCGAAATCCCCCCGCCGAATCGAAGCACGGGACTGCGCGCGGAATCGGAATCGCGACGAGTCGATGAATAACGACCGTTCGAACTGCGAATCGACGTTCGACGCGTTCCTCGGTCTCTCGTCCTCGTTCGCACGGAGCAGAGAATGCACGGGAAGCGAGTCGCGCGCCATCTATGGGGCCGAAAGAGACAGTCCATCTCGGGACTCTCCCTCCTCGTCCCAGGACTCTCCCTCCTCGTCCCAGGACTCTCCAGGCTTCTCTCCTTTCTCGCAAGGGGGAGCTTCGACGTTCGACGGATCCATCGAGTTTGCGTTTCGAGCACTTTTCGAGAGAATACTTGGATCCGGCACGTCGTGTTCCCGATTGAATGCGCCCCTATCGTGATAAAATGATTCTTCCGTTTCCTTTTTTAAACAAAAGACAAAAATGCGTGATCGTCATCGACGCACATCGGTCGCGACGCGATTCCGCTTCCAGAGAATTTTCCCGTCCGCCCGATTTCGCCCCGGAAAGCCCCAAACGACGGAACGACTCAGTTCGCAATCCTCCCCCCCACCCCCCCCCCCCCCCCCCCCCCCCCCCCCCCCCCC